ATGTGGTCTTTCCATATACATACAGGCAGTAAAGCTCGCAGGAAGAGAGGCGTCTCCTCAGAAAAGGCAAATGAGTGGCCACTGCTAATGAGGATCCTGTCTGCAGAGGAACACTTCAATTAAAGGCCACCAGTATAAAAAGGGCAATGACTCTGAGCTAGGAGCTGCTGTGAGGAGCTATTCCAAAAGGACTTTGGCAGAGTATTTGTTCCCCTGTAGGTCTTCCAGTCAAGTGTCCTCTGCAAATAAGCCCAGCTGGGTTCTTGGTCTGGCTTGAAGAAGCAATGAGTCTTAGAAAAAATGCCCAAGCTCCCAGAGGAGGGAGAGTGGCAGGGCTGGGGTCAATAATAAATGAATGTTTTGGGGGTTTTTTGTGCTGAAATAAAATGAAAAAGCCAGATATTCATATTTGATGGAACAAAGGGTTTTACACACACATAATCAAAATATATAATTTGGAGTGTATGGGGGCCAGTCATCTTAAGTTTAGGTGGCTGACAGAAATGTATTGATTGTTAAGGAGAAGATTGAAAAGTATTAAAAAATGTGTTGTCTTTTTTTTATATAAAGCTTACATTTGTGATTTTGCCATAAGCATATTTTCACCTTCTCACATGTGCATATGCAACTATATGCAAATTAAAAATGGGGGAAAATGAAATTAATACAATGGCTAAAGAATGTAATGATACTTATATGTTTTTATTCACATATCAAAATAGTAACATTTCAGCCCCTTCTTCCACAAGTCACTTCAGATAATGACAGTTACTATTTTCGAGTGGCCAAAGCGTTTGCTGGGCAGTACGGTTGCTTGCCAGCTTGCTGTGGCAAATCAGGCCTTGTCACCTGCACTTCGCAAATAACAAAGCCAAAAGTTAGAACTGTCATGGAGTGTTGTCCCTAGACAATGCACAGATAACAGCAAGGCTGTTATTGAACAGGCTGCATAGTATTAAATTCTGTGTCTCTGGTTTAATCACAAGGTAAGGAGATTGGACCTCAGGGATGTAGTGCCCGACAGCATTTTATCTGCCATACATACTCATCTTGCCCACCCAGGCTTCCACCTAACATTATGGGGTGTCTGATTTTCATTTAAATAATCAGGTTTGCTAAAGAGTTTGGTAAAACTGTGACTGGGTTCTTTGTTTTTTTATCTCACAGGAGGTAGGATTTTCTTTCTCTTGGATTGCCTGCATTTTGCAAGCATCCTTCAGAAAGCTGGCACTATGTCCATATGAGGAAAATAGGATTATGAATTCTGGCAGGTTAAGCATAAACAGATAATAAGGGAAACCAAAAAGTCTTCAAGGAACAGTTTGCAGAAGATAAAAGAACAAAGAGCAGACCTTTTTTTCAAGCATATCCAATAGCCTGCTGGAAAACTTAGAGGAACATTGTGGGTCCCACTGAGAGGAACACAAAAAGAGGTCCTGGAGAAGATACTACTTTAGCAGCAAAACAGACTATGTTTCTGGCATCGGGCACAGTGTTCCTTAAGTTTCTGACCCACAAGTTACTGGCAGCTGGGAGGCTCTTCTGGGCACACATGGCCACACACTGCCTCGCTTTTACACTTTGCCATTGTGCCTGCTATTGGTACCCGTCAGAGCCAGGATACAGCTCTGAGCAAGATGTTTGATACAGCCATTTGATGCTTTTTCTGTGATGTTTTTTTTACGTTACATTAATTTGGTGTGCCTGTATCGACAGTTCAGTCCCAATCGAGGCACGACTTGCTGGCGACTTATGCAAATGTTTCTTTTCCTTCACTCTTGACAGCAGACTAGCTAAGCCTGAAACGGGATGCTGTCCTCATGGGCTGCTGCCAGACCTCTTCTTGGCCTGAGCTTCTTGCATAGGCAGCTGTCACCAGCTGGAAGACTCCAGCTCAGGAGCGCACACACACAATAACCACTCCTCCCCAGGTCAGTGCTCAAAGAGTGTTGTTCACATAAAGCATTAACAGGTATCTTGGAGGGAAGAAAGTTTCCATTAATTGAGGCCAAATAAACTGGCCAGGTTTTGCAATAGAAGAGCAAGGAGCAAGTAGATGCGGGAGGGATGGGTGTTAAAATAGCCTCAGGACATTGATCCAATGTATTTGATTTCCAAGTAATTAAAGCAATATGCTGATAATCAAATTTGTGCAAAGCAGTCTGACAAACGCTGATGAAATTTCCCCAACCCAGAAAATTGGCAGAGGAATTTCTTCTGAAGCTTAGAATATGAAATCCTAGTCAAGCTCACTTTTTTTCATTCCTTCCTTCACGTAATCATCAAAATAATGCCGTACCTTCACCTGTTGAACCTTCATTTGGCCCTTGTGCTTGGCACATCCATTACCTTGGGCTCAGTTGCTGTGCTTTTTTTTTACTGTAAAACTTGTCTGCTGCCAGGACTGCATAGACAGAAAATGCTACTGAAGCCATTGATTCCCAGTGTGAACAGAGTGATTCTACAGAAAAACACAAATGCCACCTACTAAAAATGGAGCCTCAGAGGAAAAGGAAATCTCTGTTAAACCAATTGCCCTGGAACTTGACCACAGAATATTTTAAAAAACATTGAATTTTACCCACTTCAGGGTAAAATAACGCAGCTTGCTTATTTAATCTAGGTACCCTAAAAATAATTGATGCTAAGTGAAGTAACGTTATGATACATCTTTTTTTTTTATGTGAAAGACATATTAAAGCAGTAAATATGGTATAACATTTTTAGGCAAGTACGGATGGGTAATTCATTCCCGCAGCTCTCTGCTGCTGGTTCTGTTCACTCTACTTCAGAAATTAGAAACCTAATATGGGAATGAAAAAATTACTTTGCAAAAGTCTTTTCTCATGCTGCTGATAACATTCTCTCTCACATGCTTTGATCAACAGAACATTTAGCTAAAGGAGGAGTTTAGAAGTCTCTTCTATATTATTAAAAATAGGAAGAATATCACAATATAAAAATTAGCAGGTAGAGAACATGAACAGCACCCAACAGAAGTGTCAGATATAAGTTGCCTCTGCCAATTTTTAGCATAATCCTGCCTGTAGCACTGAGATTTTGCTTTTGTGCCATGTTTGGAAGCTCAATGTTTTATTCTTTCAGTTGCATTAAACTGTGACAATGAGAGATATACAGATTTATTTTTTAATAGGATTCAGCCAGCCCAGCAGTCATTTAGCTGGAAATCCCATTGCAGAGCTTCCTGACTTAGTTTGTACAGGCACTGTCATCACAAAAAGAGATGGTGCTGCACCATGCCAGTATCAGCAGGGGCCACAGCAGCTTCTGGCCGTGTGCAAGGCTGCACACACACAGTAGGAGATGTGATTCTAGCCCTAGTAATTCTCTTACGTCCTCTGCTGGCCTTTGTACACAAGGCAGAGGAGAAGGGGTATTTGGTCACTGCCTGTCTCCTCTGGGATTGCTTTGAAACAGCTCCCACCACATGCAGCTTACCTGCAGGGTGCCTGCTTTAGGACTGAATTTAAATCACGCACAGTTTTCAAAGCAAAGGCCAGTGGAAGCATCATTACATACTTAACAGCTGCAGGCAAGGAAGAAGAGAGATACAAAAAAGTTAAGGCCAACATCTTCAAAAGCATTAGTGCCTAATTAGTGCCTAAGTCTCATTCAAATCAATCTAAGCTAGGAGTCTAATGAGCTGTGGACATCTGCGCTCAGATAACTCAAATGGAAACTCTGTCCCAGTCATTCTGAGCTCCATCTCACTTCATGAGGCTATACCTGTCCCCCCAACACAGGGCGACTGTTGTTGCTGCAAACACAGTGTATAGAAATGCATGACATACTTCTTGAAACCTTTACTTGTAGCAGAGTGAAACCTCCTTTAATGTTCAGAAAGATTTCCAGTTCTTAGAGAGAACCACTAGATAATTGCCAATGACAGAGTCTCATAAGGTTTTGAAAAGCAGACTTTATTTATATAGGCACATCATTGCTTTAATAGCACTGGGCTGCACAGCTCACTTCACCATTTGTAAATGGTTTTGTTTGATTACATTGCATTTCCTCAGTGTCGGTAGGATTCAAGTAAAAAAGTTACTGCTTTTACTTCTCTATCATTTCTCAAGGTGGAAAATAAACAGTACAACAACTAGCGCGCAGGAGCAGAATACACACAGAACTGCCTGCGATCCAGCAGAACTCAGGACAAACCCTAATTCGAGCACTGAACAGTTAAAGCTTCAAGACAACCGCGCTACATATTCTCAGATGGGATTTTGCATTATGCAGGATAGAGACAAATGTTGCCCATGCCCACTAATACAACAAGGGACTGGCTTGCTTATACTGAGAAACAAAGACCATCCAACACAGACAAGAATGAGTGTTTCACAACAAAACAGCTCATGTGCAATTAGCTTCCTTGTTATTTCTGATTATAAAAGTTGTACTCCCTCAGCTGTAAAAGTTAAAGGCTTAAAAGAAAAGTACTGCTTAGAGAATTCTAAACCTGCAATTTGTGATAAGAGAAAACCATCTTTAAGAGACAAAAACATAGCATTCTGGGTTATTTTCATAATTAAGTAGTTTAGTTGGTTTATATATTTCTTCCCTGAAAAACTGCATTTTAATATTTTATTAAATTCCACCAGTAGAAGCATAGAAAATCAGAAATTGTTAGAGGAAAATAGTAATTGCTCTACAAAAGAAAAAAGCATGACTTCTAACATAGTTTTATGAACACCGTAAAAGAAGCACATACAGCACTGAAACATGTTGAAAATGGAGAAATATTTTGTGAGTTTCAATGTTCTTAGGTTCTACATTCTATTTTCTGAATGGATATTTCCAAAGTCAATCTCTTGCGAGTTTTTAATATATTTTCTAGCATTGTATAGGCAGACAACCTAAAACAAACAACGCAAAATCTAGCATGCCACACCCTGTAATATACACTAGTTACTAGCACTTTACACTGACGGTACCTACTGTATTTGTAAAACTCGGTTTTAAATCAGCTTGTCAAGGCTTTTGAGAAGCAATCTGGGCAATAAATTGGGTATTTTTAGTGTCTACCACGAATACGGCTGATTACAGAATCAGAGGTCACTCTCTCCATACAGTGCTGAAGAAAAAGAGGTGTAATCCAGGGCCCCAGGAACAGAACCCGGGCCAGTGTATGGAGGCATTCTCTTGATGCAGTACTGAGCCTGCTCAGGAGGCAGCTCTCGACGTAATTCATCTGCCAGGATATAAGGCTGGGAGAGGGGAAAGGAGTGACAAATTCAGTATGTATTCTTCAAAGACACTAAATACATTCATTTTCTGTAGTTGTGACTGATAAACTCAGACATCCTGCCTGTTTTCTTGACACCAAATATTTTACTCTGTAAATTCAATCCCTAACGATGAGTTGAAGAGGACAATCCGACCAACAACCTGATTAGGTCAAAATCCAGTCTCAGGATATGTGACTGTGTATGTTAGCTTACCAAGCACCATGCAGCCATGGGTAGACTGCTACCGATGCAGCTCATCCATGGACAGGCAGTCAATATCTCTGAAGTGCACTTACTGCCCCTTCCGTGGTGACAGGGCAGACACATTTTTGGTTGCATCCTGTTAGTTTCAAGGTCCTACTACATTTGTAATGAAAGATGTATTCTTGCTCTTAATGGTTTGCATTTGTGGTAAGACGGATACCCTCTGTTAACAGGCAACATTATTTAAAATAGCAACTTAATGAAAACCAGTTTTTCCTGAGACCTTGGCTTTCATCTTAGAATCGTAGAATCATAGAATGTTTTGGGTTGGAAGGGACCCCTAGAGGTCATCTAGTCCAACCCCCCTACAGTGAGCAGGGATACCGCTAACTAGATCAGGTTGCTCAGAGCCCCATCCAACCTGGCCTTGAATGTTTCCAGGGATGGGGCCTCCACCACCTCTCTGGGCAACCTGTTCCAGTGTTTCACCACCCTCATTGTAAAGAATTTCTTCCTTATATCTAGTCTAAACCTATCCTGCTTCAGTTTAAAACCATTATCCCTTGTCCTGTCACAGCTGGCCCTGCTAGAAAGATTTTCCCCATCTTTCCTATAGGCCCCCTTTAGGTATTGAAAGGCCGTAATTAGGTCTCCCCGCAGCCGCCTTTTCTCCAGGCTGAACAACCCGAACTCTCTCAGCCTGTCCTCATAGGAGAGGTGCTCCAGCCCTCGGATCATTTTTGTGGTCCTCCTCTGGACCCGCTCCAACAGTTCCATGTCCTTCTTGTGCTGAGGGCTCCAGAGCTGGACGCAGTACTCCAGGTGAGGTCTCACCAGAGCAGAGTAGAGGGGCAGAATCACCTCCCTCGACCTGCTGGCCACGCTTCTCCCAGTGCAGCCCAGAGTATGGTTGGCCTTCTGGGCTGCCAGTGCACATTGCCGGCTCATGTCCAGCTTTTCATCCACCAGCACCCCCAAGTCCCTCTCAGCAGGGCTGCTCTTGATCCTTTCTTCCCCCAGACTGTATTGATACTGGGGGTTACCTCGACCCAGGTACAGGACCTTGCACTTGGCCTTGTTGAACCTCATGAGGTTCACACAGGCCCACCTCTCCAGCCTGTCCAGGTCTCTCTGGATGACATCCCGTCCTTCTGGTGTGTCAACCACACCACTCAGTTTGGTGTCGTCTGCAAACTTGCTGAGGGTGCACTCGATCTCGCTAAGTCATTGATGAATATATTAAACAGCACTGGTCCCAGTACGGACCCCTGAGGGACACCACTCATCACCGGTCTCCATCCGGACATCGAGCCATTGACCACTACCCTCTGGATGCGACCATCCAGCCAGTTCCTTATCCACCAAACAGTCCACCCATCAAATCCATAGCTCTCCAATTTAGACAGAAGGATGTTGTGGGGGATCTTCTACATGAATTCCTACTGAGAACATGTCTGGAATTCAGAATGTGGTCCTCAGTAACTGAGATCACAAAAATCAATACAAACAGCCAGAATGAGAAGATCAATAGAGCAAGTTTGGGCAAATAAACCTGTACTGCTGTGATCTCATCTTTCTCCATAGCGCAGGACTGGTTTCCTGGCAGCACTGTTCCATGGCCCTGACTTCTCCAGAAGCTCTTGTGTTGCTTCCATCTTCATACACTACTCACTGGCCAGAGGATCTGGCTGTGGGGAGGAAAGTATGGCAAATTCAGGAGCTTCCGCCATGTACCCAGTAACTAGAGGAGGCCTCCTCCTCCTGCTCCTCCTAGAATAGGGGTACACCACATTGCATCACCCTGTTGAATGAGCTGTTGGGTCACAATGTGGCTCACAATTAGGTATAGTCTTGTGCAACTGACCCAGGCTATGTTCCAGAGGGCCAAACTCTGTATTGAAAGGCAAAATTAGTTCCCCTCTAATCAAGGCTGTTGTTTGGAAATAAACTGATATACAATATATCTATTATACAGACAAACTGTCTAAGTCTTGTCTAAGACGTCTAATTTTATGTTGGTTCTTTGTGATATGAGGGTATACAGACCAAGCTTTCAATTCTGCACCCATTTCAGCTAAGAGTGTTGGTTCCAAACAAGAAGAAAAGGCAAGTGCTTTCTCTGAAGTCTTACAAACTGAAAACAAAGCTTCACTATTACTAAAAGGCTTGTATAAGACTTTAAGCAAAGAAGGGCTGAATAGGAGAGCTATTGAATCCTTATAGCCAGCAGCACAATGACTGACCTTATCGGAAGCCAGGATTCTGAAGGAAGCTATTACTTGCTCAGCCGTGTCTGTGTCTGCCGTTTCTCTGGTCATGAAGTCAATGAAGGACTGGAAAGTGACAGTTCCTTGCCCATTGGGGTCAACCAGAGACATGATTCGAGCAAACTCAGCTTCACCCTTTCACAGAATCCAAAATAAAGAAAAATGATCACCGTAATATCAATCACCAACAGCCCGTGTCTTTCATGAACCAGTAGGGACCAGTGGTTACAAAGTCTTCTAAACATCTTCCTCACTTAGGAATATAAATGTCAGAGTCAATGAAATCTAGGATCTTAAATGCCCACCCCTCTTTTGTAAAAAGGACTCGGTGCTTTTGAAAAATGTATTCTTTGTCCTGCATACATAGTATGTACCTTTCAATTAACTTTCTGCAACTTCTTCCTCCTCCCACCCTCCCTCAATGCCTGTTTAACTTGTTTTAACTTTACACTTCTTTTTCTACCCCATCCTATACCCATTGTAATTTAGGTGAAACAACAGTGCAAGAAGCAATGAACTAAGAAAGGGAAACAATTCTGAAAATTTTGTGCCAAATATAGGACAGTTCAACTAAGGCTAATCCTTTTTTCCTAGTAAAAAGGGTGAATTTGGGGGAAATTTTTAGAAGAGTGAAGGAAAGCAAATGCAACCCCCAAAGCCAGTTTATGAGAATTAAATAGCATCAAACTCATTCTTCCTCATGCAGATAACAAAGGAGAAAGGAAAAAAAAATCATTTAATAACTGTTAATTTCAACTTTTAAAGCTTCCTTAATTCAGAGAGCAATGCAGTGGACCATAAAATACAGTTTTCAAGTGTCTAGTTTCACTTTTAACTTCCTTTTCAACCATTTGAAAATAGAGAAAAAGCAAAGAAACAAGAAACTAGTATCTCTAGCGTAAATTATATTATTAGTATTCTGTCAATTTAAATAAGCTTTAGTGTTGCTGTGGTTAATGTTATAAGCTGCAAGCAGAATCAGTTGCCATTGTTTCTTAAAATTCATACCAAATCATAACCCATTGAAATTAAGCAAGCTCTGAAATCATCATGGTCCATCAATCCATTCTTCCTCTATTGACCAAAACAATGTAAGGAATATAGAAGGGAAGGTTTGAAGAATCCAAGGCGATTTCCAGAGAGATGACAAGTTTACACCATTGCCATATTGGATCCAGCGTATGCCCAAGCAGATCACCAGAATCATCATCGGTTTTAAAGGAGGAAGAAGTAACTAACATATTACACACAGGAAACAGACATTTTCACCACAAGAAGTAACATCAGGAAAGGTCAGGGGAGAGAGAAGGGAGAAGAGGAGGTGAACGAGACAAGAATACAGAGAACACAACCAGAGAAGACAAAGAGAAGGGCAAGGAGAAGTTTGTTACTAAACTAGTTAAACTCAGGAGATGCTCAAGCTGCCTCCCTGATGTGAAATGTCTTTGACAGGTTCTGCATGGGATGCTATAGTGACTACAAGTATAGTTAAAAACAGTCTGAAAATAGTGTATCACTGACTATTTCCAATACTCCACTCCAAGGCACACTATGAGAGCTGTCTGCTGACACATGGGAAATAAGCACAGGGATTTTCCTTTTGATGGCAGGCTACCAAGACCTGGACTACAGCAGAGAGATGTGCATACCCGCTTAAAGGATGAGACTTAGAAGACTTAGAAGGAGGTCAGCTGAAGACCCTGTATAAAAGGAGGTTGCTCATATTACAGGCAATACCATATCTGT